GGCAGGGGTTGCGGGGCCGCCGATCTCGGCGGGCGGAAAGAGGACCCGGAACGACCCTGACGGCGCTCACCATTAAACCGCACGGCTCGCACCGCCCCTTGCCCGCAGTCCAGCGTCTTCAGCCGTGTCCGCGGCAGCTCCGGGGCCCGCGGCTTTGGCTCGGGGAAAGCCATAGCTCCAGGATCCTTTCCTCGCCTCCTTGGGTCGATCTGTACGGAGAACACCAAGCCTAAGAAAACCACACGAGGGTGTAACCTTATTATTGTTCCCCCACGCTCTACTTCCTGCTTACCACTTCCGGGGTTGAAATTTTGGTACTTTTGGCGGCAGTGTGCGAAATACGGAAGCTACTTTAAGTTTTTCACTCACTTTCCGTTTTCAAGGAACAATTATGGTCTAATTCATATTATTCTCCGTCCAGTGGCTGGCGGGGGAGGGGGCGGAAATGAGGATTCCTGGCGTACGCCGTGCGGAATGAAAGCGCGAGGACTGCGGGTGTTACTCTAAAAGCTACCCCCCGCGTCCCTGACGGGACCTGCGCTCTCGCTGCGGAAGAGGTGCAATACAGATTGGCATTCGCTATGTCCGCCAACAACATGTCGGACCCCCGGAGACCTAACAAAGTGCTGAGGTGCGGACCCCAGCATTATGGCGACGGGGCTCGGGGTGTGGGTGTGGGTCGGAAAAGAGGGAAGTTCTTGACCATCCCGGGGACGGAAGTGCGGCGTCCCTGACCCTTGAGCCTCTCGCAGGTACAAGCCCCCGCCCAGCGAGTGTAACCCGGCCTTGGACGACCCGACGCCGGACTACATGAATCTGCTGGGCATGATCTTCAGCATGTGCGGCCTCATGCTTAAGGTGGGCGGGCCCACGCTGCCATCAGCGCAGTTGGAACTGAGAACGAGGCCCGGGGGCGGGCTCTGGCTTAAGGGGACGGACCTGGTTGCAGACGGGGGAAGCGGGGTCAGAGCGGGTACTTGGCGAGTCGGTCTGAGAGTGGGGTCAGGCTTTGAAGCTCCTTGGAGGGCACTCGTGGAGAAAGGGCAGGGATGAACACGTGGGGCTGTCAACAGCCAGCTTGGTCTTGAGGTGATGTAGTGGGGTTAGAGATGCAGGTGAGAAGGCAGAACCAGAAACCCGGTTCCTGGAGCCAGCCATGGTGGGTGGGACTGAGGGACTAGGGGGAGCAAGGTCCCAGCTGCAGAAGATGCGAATCACTGGGGGCCAGTAGGTGGTGTAGTGGGTAAGGTGTTGGATTCCCACATGGTCGACCCCGGTTTGAGTCCCCTACCTGGTCCCTTGAAACTCAGCGGGGCAGGTGTACCTGTCGGAGGAGAAGGGATTGCAGCGTGGCCATTCTTCTTAAGGAATGATTTCCTCACTTTCTGTTCTGTCTCTGTTTTTCTATCTCTTCAGTGAGCAAACACACCCTATGCAAAAATCTCTGAAAAAAAAAAAAAAAAAGATGAGCCTCTGAGCAGGAGCCCACTGGTGCCTGGGATGTTAATTAATGTGACCGGCTCCAATTTAACTCTCCCACTCACCTTCCTTTTCCTAGCTGAAGTGGTGCGCCTGGGTGGCCGTCTACTGCTCCTTCATCAGCTTTGCCAACTCCCGGAGCTCCGAAGACACCAAACAGATGATGAGTAGTTTCATGTGAGGTTTGGGCTAGACACGGAGGGTTTCTGGGGAAGGGAAAAGGGACCCCAGCGCACCTACCCTGGACTGACACCTCCCTCCTGTCTCAGGCTGTCCATCTCTGCCGTAGTGATGTCATATCTGCAGAACCCTCAGCCCATGACGCCTCCCTGGTGATGTCAGCCTCCAGGGGTCACAATCTGGACCCTCCAGATCCACTGTTCCCTAGGCCTGGCCTGTGGCTGCTCGACCTCCTGCCTTCCGCTGCTGGGCTGGACTTCCCTGAGTGAGGGTCTCAGGGCTCCCAGCTGGATGAGAAACAGAGTCCCATTTGTGCTGGGGCATAGAGGGGGATACCAGATGCCCACCCCTCCTGCCACTCCTACCCTGCTGCCGTCGGGAGAGATGGGGTCCGTGTGTTTTCTTGTTGAAACCGGTTAATAATAAAGTTTTCCACTCTGTCCTCTGTGATCGCTCGCTCCTCTTCAGGGGGTGCTCCTTCTAGTCAGTTAGACCTGGGGCAGGGCCCCAGATGGGAGCTTCTGGTGTTCATTTCCCTGGGGGCGGAAATGAGGATGCCTGGCGTACGCCGTGCGGAATGAAAGCGCGAGGACTGCGGGTGTTACTCTAAAAGCTACCCCCCGCGTCCCTGACGGGACCTGCGCTCTCGCTGCGGAAGAGGTGCAATACAGATTGGCATTCGCTATGTCCGCCAACAACATGTCGGACCCCCGGAGACCTAACAAAGTGCTGAGGTGCGGACCCCAGCATTATGGCGACGGGGCTCGGGGTGTGGGTGTGGGTCGGAAAAGAGGGAAGTTCTTGACCATCCCGGGGACGGAAGTGCGGCGTCCCTGACCCTTGAGCCTCTCGCAGGTACAAGCCCCCGCCCAGCGAGTGTAACCCGGCCTTGGACGACCCGACGCCGGACTACATGAATCTGCTGGGCATGATCTTCAGCATGTGCGGCCTCATGCTTAAGGTGGGCGGGCCCACGCTGCCATCAGCGCAGTTGGAACTGAGAACGAGGCCCGGGGGCGGGCTCTGGCTTAAGGGGACGGACCTGGTTGCAGACGGGGGAAGCGGGGTCAGAGCGGGTACTTGGCGAGTCGGTCTGAGAGTGGGGTCAGGCTTTGAAGCTCCTTGGAGGGCACTCGTGGAGAAAGGGCAGGGATGAACACGTGGGGCTGTCAACAGCCAGCTTGGTCTTGAGGTGATGTAGTGGGGTTAGAGATGCAGGTGAGAAGGCAGAACCAGAAAACCGGTTCCTGGAGCCAGCCATGGTGGGTGGGACTGAGGGACTAGGGGGAGCAAGGTCCCAGCTGCAGAAGATGCGAATCACTGGGGGCCAGTAGGTGGTGTAGTGGGTAAGGTGTTGGATTCCCACATGGTCGACCCCGGTTTGAGTCCCCTACCTGGTCCCTTGAAACTCAGCGGGGCAGGTGTACCTGTCGGAGGAGAAGGGATTGCAGCGTGGCCATTCTTCTTAAGGAATGATTTCCTCACTTTCTGTTCTGTCTCTGTTTTTCTATCTCTTCAGTGAGCAAACACACCCTATGCAAAAATCTCTGAAAAAAAAAAAAAAAAAGATGAGCCTCTGAGCAGGAGCCCACTGGTGCCTGGGATGTTAATTAATGTGACCGGCTCCAATTTAACTCTCCCACTCACCTTCCTTTTCCTAGCTGAAGTGGTGCGCCTGGGTGGCCGTCTACTGCTCCTTCATCAGCTTTGCCAACTCCCGGAGCTCCGAAGACACCAAACAGATGATGAGTAGTTTCATGTGAGGTTTGGGCTAGACACGGAGGGTTTCTGGGGAAGGGAAAAGGGACCCCAGCGCACCTACCCTGGACTGACACCTCCCTCCTGTCTCAGGCTGTCCATCTCTGCCGTAGTGATGTCATATCTGCAGAACCCTCAGCCCATGACGCCTCCCTGGTGATGTCAGCCTCCAGGGGTCACAATCTGGACCCTCCAGATCCACTGTTCCCTAGGCCTGGCCTGTGGCTGCTCGACCTCCTGCCTTCCGCTGCTGGGCTGGACTTCCCTGAGTGAGGGTCTCAGGGCTCCCAGCTGGATGAGAAACAGAGTCCCATTTGTGCTGGGGCATAGAGGGGGATACCAGATGCCCACCCCTCCTGCCACTCCTACCCTGCTGCCGTCGGGAGAGATGGGGTCCGTGTGTTTTCTTGTTGAAACCGGTTAATAATAAAGTTTTCCACTCTGTCCTCTGTGATCGGGGGGCGGAAATGAGGATGCCTGGCGTACGCCGTGCGGAATGAAAGCGCGAGGACTGCGGGTGTTACTCTAAAAGCTACCCCCCGCGTCCCTGACGGGACCTGCGCTCTCGCTGCGGAAGAGGTGCAATACAGATTGGCATTCGCTATGTCCGCCAACAACATGTCGGACCCCCGGAGACCTAACAAAGTGCTGAGGTGCGGACCCCAGCATTATGGCGACGGGGCTCGGGGTGTGGGTGTGGGTCGGAAAAGAGGGAAGTTCTTGACCATCCCGGGGACGGAAGTGCGGCGTCCCTGACCCTTGAGCCTCTCGCAGGTACAAGCCCCCGCCCAGCGAGTGTAACCCGGCCTTGGACGACCCGACGCCGGACTACATGAATCTGCTGGGCATGATCTTCAGCATGTGCGGCCTCATGCTTAAGGTGGGCGGGCCCACGCTGCCATCAGCGCAGTTGGAACTGAGAACGAGGCCCGGGGGCGGGCTCTGGCTTAAGGGGACGGACCTGGTTGCAGACGGGGGAAGCGGGGTCAGAGCGGGTACTTGGCGAGTCGGTCTGAGAGTGGGGTCAGGCTTTGAAGCTCCTTGGAGGGCACTCGTGGAGAAAGGGCAGGGATGAACACGTGGGGCTGTCAACAGCCAGCTTGGTCTTGAGGTGATGTAGTGGGGTTAGAGATGCAGGTGAGAAGGCAGAACCAGAAACCCGGTTCCTGGAGCCAGCCATGGTGGGTGGGACTGAGGGACTAGGGGGAGCAAGGTCCCAGCTGCAGAAGATGCGAATCACTGGGGGCCAGTAGGTGGTGTAGTGGGTAAGGTGTTGGATTCCCACATGGTCGACCCCGGTTTGAGTCCCCTACCTGGTCCCTTGAAACTCAGCGGGGCAGGTGTACCTGTCGGAGGAGAAGGGATTGCAGCGTGGCCATTCTTCTTAAGGAATGATTTCCTCACTTTCTGTTCTGTCTCTGTTTTTCTATCTCTTCAGTGAGCAAACACACCCTATGCAAAAATCTCTGAAAAAAAAAAAAAAAAAAGGTGAGCCCTGGAGCCGGA